TGCGGGAATCAGACTGCACATCCAGGTGGGAATATGCAGCAGGTCACACTTAGACTCAAAGTTCGGGTGAGGGAACGCATCGTCCAGTGGAAGTTCAGTTAGGCAATGCGCTTGATTGGTTAGTTAGTGAAGAACCAGAAAGGCGACAAGTCAGCTTACTTGAAGGTGTTTGAACAAAAGTAACTCGTCTACATCCAAACAGCGCGGCGAACCCGGTGGAAGGCAGTAAGGGAAAATTGGAGTGACAGCTTGATCAAGAAAGTTCAAGATGCAGGTACGTCACCGGACGGCTCCAGTGATGTCCTCAGGACACTGCAGAGAGCTTTGTTAAGCGGAGCTCTGCAGGCCTGCTCCACTCCCGTTGGTGGGTGACCCTGCGGACGGGGTTTGACACACACACACACAAGCTGCCGCATAGCGGCGCGCACTCGCTGCAATGCCCTTGTTACAGATGGAACAACGCAGTAAACAGCTTTTGCATTGCTTAGTTCCTAATGACTACGGTTTACGCACATAAAAGGCGGCCAGAAGAGTCAGACCTAGAAAGAGAAACGGGGAGGAGGAGAGAAAGAAACAAAAGCTCAGGGTAGAGGAGTCTTCCAAACGAGCCGCAAGAGCAACCTAACAAGCCTGAAGAAACCAAACAACGAGAAAGCGCAAGAGAGAGGGGTGGGGGGGAAGGGCGCCGAATGGGAAAAATAGGATTGAAACGATTGGAAACGTCGTGTTTGGGTGAGGTGAGGGAACACATTTTCCAGCGCCAGTGGAAGTTCAGTAATGCGCTTGATTGGTTAGTTAGTGAAGAACCAGAAAGGCGACAAGTCAGCTTATTTGAAGGTGTTTGAACAAAAGTAACTCGTCTACATCCAAACAGCGCGGCGAACCCGGTGGAAGGCAGTAAGGGAAAATTGGAGTGACAGCGTGATCAAAAGTTCAAAAAGGATGGCTCCAATGATATATACTCACAACACTTCAGAGAGTTTTGTTAAGTGGAGCTCTGCAGGCCTGCTTCGCTCCCCGGTTAGAAACAATTGAAAGAGGGTGTTTGCCGGCCTACTCCACTCCCGGTTAGAATTAATTGAAAGAGATTATTGGCTTTACATTGGGATTCGACTATTTCCATTTAAACTTGATTGCATTGAAAGTATATAGAAATTCATATATTTTGTTTTTTATATATTAATTCCTGACGCTTCGCGTCGACCGCCGCCTACACCTTTTTTTCCGGTCGTCTGGGGAAAGATTGCTGGAGTGGATAGGGGAGGTCGGGAGTGGTGTCCAAAGAGATGGATTGTTTATCGCAACATCTATGGCTATGTTGCGGCTGAATTACGCACAAATTCGCTCGTTTGGTGGCTATGTTAAAGCCAATTTAGGCTCCAAATTCGACCGTTTTGTGGCCTTACTCCCGCTTGGTTAGTCCACATTACATCATGTTAAGGCTAGCTTGATCGTTTAGTGACCCTGTGTTGAGGCTACGTGTTTTTTTTGCAATAATGCTGTTTATGCGTTGTTGGTCAGGAGGGTTTTTTAGCATCGTGGGTGTCCGTTTTTTGGTTTGTTTGGGTTCCTGCAGAAATAGTCCAAAAATGTACCTCTAATAATGCTGTTATGCGTTGTTGGTTAGGAGAGGTTTTCAACATCGTGGGTGTCCCTTTTTGGGCTTGTTTGGGTTCTTGCAGAAACAGTCCAAAAATGTACCTCCAAAACGCTCTCCCCCGAGGCGTAAGACATTTTTCCCCGAAACAAAAAAAGGCCCCCCCTAGTAGAGCTATGAATTGATTACGATGTAACGATGGACTGACGATGATTCCAGCTTGATCCGCCCCTAACACGCCCTGCACCGCAAGCGGTGTGGGCGGATTTCTTGAATATTTATTGGATCAATATATATGGATGGAATTTAAAGAGGAGAATTGTTCGATTAATATTTTGAAATATGAAAAAAGAAACATAAATTATATATATAGATAAAACCTATTTGAATAGAAATTAATGAAGGAAAAATCGATGTTATATATTAGGTATTAATATTAGATTGATTTAATTTGTAAAAAATCGATTCGAAATCGTATATTAAAAACCATAGGAATATTTAAATATAGATTATATTTATGATATATGTTTTGAGTTGTATTTATGGTATGTTTGATTATTATTTATTTGTATTTATATATATTTTTTTGGGGGGAGATATTGATGTAGGAATTATATTAGTCCGGGATTCGTATAGAAATTTATATCTTCTTGCATATATATACGTATATAACTATTCTTAAAATTGTGTTATGATGGAAATGATATTATATTATTGAATTTTGGATTTGAAATTTATAGAAATTAAGATAAATATATTAATTAATATAATATATATATATTGTTTTTATTTGAATATATATTTATTGTTATATATATATATTTTTTTTACGTGTATATATTGGGATTTTATTTAAAATGAATCGATTTTACGCGAATGAATTGATTTTTCGTTGAATTTTATTTTTATACAATAAATGGTCTTTATACGATATGCATTGATTTAAATATATTATTTATATAGAAAATATTTTTGATGCTTAATAATCTATATTAAATATTATTTCTATATATTATTTGACATTTTTATAATAAATATATTTGAAAGATATTATTAAATATAGAAATTTAATTTTATATATTTTAAAATATGATGAATAATATATATATATATATTTTATATTAAATTATAATATAAATATAAAATTAAATTGAATATTTATGAAATATATAAATATAATATTATATTTCTATAATTTGGTAATAAATAAAAAATGATGAATTTATTTTTTAAAAATATTATATATATAATATAAATATATATTAATATTTTTGATATTTATATTTTATTAGTTTTTTAACATAAATATTGAAATCGATAAAACATATTTAATATATTTGTATATTAATAATATAGAATTTTATAAATATTTTTATATATAAAATATTTTTTAATTTTAATATATAATATATTATTTATAAATATTATATGAAATAGGGGGATATATTTAATGCTATGATTATGAACAGATCCTTTGATTTTTTGTTATATTTTTATAATATGGAAAGGATAATATAATGCCTCTATTTCTGTAGATTTCAAAAAGATTGGTCCCATTCTTAGCAGAACGAAGGGGTAAGACAAATATTGCGGCAATCCTTATTTCGCATCTTGGAATATTTTTTGAAGAAATTACAGATGCTGAAATTCAATGCACCAGACGACGCTTTGATACAAGGCCTACGGATATGCCAGATCCTAACCAATTCTATTTAATGGAATTTCCTTGGGTGGAATTATAATGCCAAATATCTCAAAATTATAAAATAGGATCCATTGAATTGCACGTAATGATACGAAATGCTGCAATGTATTCTGCAATTCATTTTGCAGACCGAATTCATTCATAAATTTGCGGTAATGAAATCTATGCCCAAGGAATAATTCCCAGACGACGATTCCCTGGCGATTGGATTTGTCCATGCGCAATCAGGAGAATGTAGAGTTACAGTAATGGCCTGACACAACTGGTGGCCATAAGACATCGTCCCACGGGACTCCAGTGCAACCCCTTGGCCAATGCCATGGCGTAGAAGCTGCGACGTTAATTCGTTCCTTGCCCAATTAAACCTGATTGAATCCAGGCAATTTATTTTATGCTTGATTTACGATGGATGCAATATTGATTTTTGGAGATCATGGCACCGACAAATCACTCACCTGTTGACCCACATCGGGAAACAACCATTGAATATTTTTCTTCAGGTTGAATTTAGAGATATATTGAATCCTTGATTCTGGAATCATGGACAATCGCAAAAATATCATTGCAAGATTTAATAGATTAATAGCGGCACCTTGTTAATCCATTTATTTGTGCATTCCCCCATCCAAATATCGTGATTTATATGCAGATAAATCGCTTTCCCAAATTGGACCAAAAATTTCGGTATAGTTACTAGAATCGTATACAAAAACAAAACGCCTTATAAATTCATAATATCTTATCGAAATATTTTATAGAATTTTAATACACGAAGAAATTAATATATAAAAATTACCTATTAATTATCTCCCATTATCAAATCAATATATATATTTAATTTATCGCAACATAAAAATAGCTTCAGAATTTATTCGGAAATAGATTTATTTCATTTTGTTATACAAAAATACCGCGGATTTTAAATATACATATTCCTAAAATATTCAAATATCCAATATAATATTCTATATTATCCAATATGCAAAAATACTTCTACCAATTATACATAAATCTCTTAAACTAATATATTATAATTTTTTAAAATATATATTTATTAATAGCTTAAATAAATTTCTAAAAATTATTTTTTTAATTAGATAATATAATTTAATATATAATTGCTTAATCTTTATTAAATAATTTAATATATAATTATTTTTTCTATTTATAGTATTATTTGTTTAATTTATATATATCAATTCCAATTAATAAAAATAATATTATAATTAATTATATAAATAATACATAATATATATAAATTAAAGAAAAAATATATTACCACCAATATTTATTACAAACATAATCCCAAAACGACCAATATTATTCCAAAATACACCAATACTTAAGATCAAAGGGGGGGGCGAAAGCTAGCGCTCCAAAATAAGAAAGTAGAAGGCAACGAAGTAAGAAAAAACACGACGCTCTTTTTAGAGGCAGGGATAAAGAATCCTTTATATATGGCTCTCTGCCCGGATCCTCCTGCGAGAGAAGCGAGAGAAGAGAACGGAAAGATGAAAGACAGAGAAAGAAAGAGAAGAGAGAAAGAAAGAGGAGAGAGAGATGAAAAAGAGATGAGAAAGATGAGAGAGAGATGAAAGAGAGATGAGAGAGAGAGATGAGAGAGAGATGAGAGAGAGGAAAGAGACGAGTGAGACGAGTGAGACAGTAAGACAGTGCGGCCGCAAAATACGCAACCGCATGCCAAAGAACGACGACAAGACGGAGTCGAACTTGCGAAGAGGGAGGAGGGAGGGAAGGTGGGAACAAGACAAAGAAGAGGCGAGGGGAGGTGGGGAGAGGGGAGGAGGGGGGGGTCTTCGACCTGAAAAATCAGGGGTTAAGATTTACACCCGGTCGAAAGAAACCTTGCTATCGCAAGAGTAACTCCAGCTAGCTTCGCTAACTTTCGTGATATGCCCAAGATAGATTCGATCCAAAATAAATTCAAAATAATATCAATCTAAGCCGAAATAATCTAGATCCTAATTTAGGCCAAGATAAATCCTCAATAATATATAATATATCGAACATAATTTCAACATCGCCCCAAAGATAAAATCGACCTAACCCCTAATACCGTACCAAAACATAAATTCGACCTGGCCCCAATATCACGATCAAGCTAAAATCAACACAATAACAATATCCACAACGACCACAACAAAAATAATCGTCTTATATATTATATTATATTATATATTATTTATTATATAATATATAGTATATATATATATACTTCATTTAGTTATACTATATGTTTGATAGGCATTATCCAAATTCAATATACCTACAATTCCTGCAAATTTGATTGGCCTCTCATCGCATTCTCTCAATGACCTGCAAATATCCATTTGGCTTCAAACCACAACATATTATGGTCCTTCATCCAAGGACATTTTGTTTTACCAACCTCGTGCTGCATGGATGAAGGGCGGCCAGAAGGATCTTCAACCAGCAGCAGCCTGCATTGAGGAAAAGTGGCATCAATCACCCTTGGCCCTTGTCCATTCGTAATTGAACATCTTGAATTTGTCGTTATTTGTTATGTTATACCAAAAGTTCACTTCTGAAGACGAAACTCTGCACTTCCCAGATGTCCATCGCGCTGCAGCCAATCTTGAGTTGAGTGCTTCTACCAAGGAAACCCTGAAGGTGCCTGGGGTCCAGCACCTGCTGCTCCTTCAGCACCTTCAAATCGCCTGAATTGTTTGAACCAAAAAAGTTGGGGTGCCTCCTGTGACCAAGACTCAGGTGCCTCAAGCCATCGCCAGGCTCTTCAGGCAATGTGCTAAGACCTGGAGACTCAGGGGTCCAAGGTTCAGACTGCATGGCCTCCACAATAGGAATGGCCTCCTCCAACCTAATCGAAATACTGTAGTGTGCCTCAATTATTTCCAATGCGAAACACAAATTTGTAAATGGCCACCTGTGTTTAACACAGAGTAGGCCAGCGACCATTTTTGGGAGCATCGGTTGGTTCACAGTTATTGGAATGCCATTTTCCGCACCTTTCTCACTTGGCGCTTCCGGAATAAAGCTACCAGCAGGAAGCTCTGATGGCGGCTGAGCAGGCAAACCTGACGTTGTCCGCATCGAGTCCATAGCTTTGATTCCCTGCCCCCAAAAAACATTCCACATCGTCACATCGACAATTTCCATATTTATATATATATATATATCCCCCATGCAAACATCTACATATTAATATTGGTACATAATTTTGGTTCTGATAATGATATGTACATATTGAGAAAAAAGAGTCAGGATTCACTGAAGACATTTTCTGTCGTGATGTCCTGCCATTCCACCTGGTTGCTCAACAACCTCGCGTGAACTGGCCACCTCCGCTCCTGCCAGGTAGACACTTCCCTGTTTTCCGGCAACTACATCAAATGTGGTTCAATATTATTCCAAAGTAGATGTCATACAGTAAACACAGCTTTTTCACCTCGGCCTTTAAAACTCGTTTGATTTGGAGGGTGATATGGTTGGGTTGCGCCAAATGTCATGACTCCTCCTGGCTGGTCAGGTAGTTTGCCTGTATCAGCAGCTGCACCTAGGCCAAAATTAGCAGGGCAACGCAATCTCGAATCTCTTTTCCTCCATTGTCGTTTCGGAGAACATCTTATGCACAACCACAACTTGGCTTGACGGCAACACATGCGCAGCATCCAAAGGCACGGAAAGAACCCGGCTAAGCTCTGAGTTCAAGGCTTGGGAGCTGTGAGGGTGCGGTCTTGGTCTTGGCTGGTGGTGCCTCCAAAGGCAGCGCGGAGGACACTCAAACAAAGAGCATCCTACTGACAGGCTGTATGTGACATGTGTCCACAGGATTCGGACACACCCAATTGCTAGCAAAAGGCAGCAAGCAAGTCAAAAAGAACACAAACGCAGCAGTGAGGCATGCACAAAATACAAAGCAAACAACAAGCAAGTCAAAAACTGTGCTATTCCAACGAAGCCACAAACATCCAAAACAAGTTTCAGATCTTTTTAGGGTTTCAGGCCAATCCAGTCACATTTGGGTTTGCACGACAGAATCATCACATTTGCTCTCCACAGGCTGAAAACTCCACAGGCCGTCCATCAGTCCCGTACCTGGCTCACCGCTGTGCTGCCTGGAGGCAAAAGGTGTTCCCAGCAGTGACCATGCGCAAAGTAACCCAGCACTAATGTGTAGACTCTTCGGAAGTTCACCCCACCCACCCATTTGGGGGGATTTGATTCTCTCGCACCGACGAAGCTTCATCCGCACATGGGCATTCTACGCCAAGTCTAAATGACCGAAAAAAGGCACCTGACTTTGTGCAGCAAAATGGCAAGCACCGACACATACCTGGTGCAACCGTGGAGGTCATGGAATCCACAATGCTCATCTGTGAGATTTGATCATATGGCGATGAGCACACTTAGACCCATGCGTTGACAAAGCCCTTTCTTCGGTGGTGAGGCACCTGCGGGTCTGTCGGTTTCTGGGCTTCTCATCATTTCTTCAGGATTCTTCTTGTACGTGCCCCGCTACCAGGCCCAGCATGATAAGCGAGCCACAGGGGGTGGATAAACATGGTAATGCAAATGGTCGCTCGAGCGCCACATGTTATGTTGCTCAAGCAATCACACACCGCGATCTGGAAAAGTCTTGAACAATTTACCGTAGCCTAGTCATTCAAGCACGCGAAAGCTTTAACAGTGTTCAGCTGCCTGGATACGCTGGATCTGTGGCAGTGGAAGGGCCTCATGGAGCATGTGAGCTTTGTACTCCTAAAAGTCGATACCGATGTTGGGCCCGTGAAGTGCTCTGTTTCAATTTGCCATCGGGCCATTTTCCCAGCAGCTCTTGGCAATGCAGCTGGTTGCAGCTGACCCTGTCACTACTCAACGTAAACTGGAAGTGTGAAGCCTACCCTACCAAACCAGCTTCGGCTAGGAGTTAAGCCCAAACGGCTCGACAAGCCAAGCGGTGCAAACTCATGAATCGCAGGCAATCAACTCGTCAGAGCGAGGGCGTGCACAGCAATCGAAGTACACGCATACCTGGTCAAATTAAGAACAATGCAAACAAGTCTTATGGCAACAGGAGTCCAAAAGTGCTAAACGGGAAGAAAAACCTTCTTCAACTCTGTCTTCAACTATGGCCGTTTGTCAACTGGCTGGACCTATGGACCTATTGAGCATCCACATCAGCTTGCAAACAGGATGCACAAAGCACAATGCAGTACATGAAATTCCCAACTGCTGTTGAAACCACGGTCGATAGCCGTTCGTGCGACTGAAAGAACTGAAAATAGAGGTTGAGAAAGCCGCCCAGGCTCATTGCAAAGTACCTGCTGACCATTTCTTCAAGAAACTATACCGCTTCTCTCTCTCTCTCTACGTGCAGTATTTCTCATCCACATCAAAAACATCAGCCTTTGAAAACAGTTGCCATGGCACATGGGATAGCTAATGCTACCAGATCCACGGTGCTGAAGAGAAGTTCGGATCTGCGGCAGCAGCTTGAATATATTTAAAAATGCACTGATGTAGCCCAGTATGCTGGCCACCAACCGGAGACTCCAGGTGCAGGTAGACAGCCTCATTCACAGAAAGGGAAATTATCTCCAGGAAATTCTAAGCATATGCTTAACTATTTAAGAAGTAGGACCATGTCACAGAATGACACAAGGGACTTGCAACACAGCTGGACAACCTTTCTTTTTTGCTACTGCCACCTTATCTTGGAACACCCAGCTCCTGCATCGAAGGCAAACACACGGATGGGCATTGTTGCCAGCCGAGTGTCGTCGACCATGAAACCAGCAACGCTGACCCGAACAAAAGAGCTCCCAGCTGCATCTGCCACGTTCGCTGCAAGTGCTCTTTGCTCGAGTCGGCTGCAAAATGTACGCACCAGTAGAAAAGTGGAACCTGACTGTCTGGCAACAAATCTAAACAGCTAGCACTCTTGCACATGACTCTTGCATCTAAGTTTAAAGAGATTTAACGTTTTCCTCCATGCTGTGTGCTTGTGTCGCCTGCAAGAGCCACTGTGCAAGAGTCTGGTACAAAGCCAAGAGGTTGCATTGGCACAAAGGCTCCTCTAAATGGCACCTTGGAGCAGCAACGAGGCCAAAGTGAGCGGGCAAAGAACGTTTCGAGCAAACAAATTCTCTGACAATTTTCAGAATCAGCACGTATAGATGTAGATGTTCATAGATTTTCACCTGGAGTCTCTGAGAAAGTCTTTTTCGGTACAATCATCCACTACTCCACATCCAATTGCACATACCAGAAAACCTTGAGGACGTTCTTCTAAATGGCCAGACTGTTGCCAAGCAACCTTTGAGCGAACTCATGCCAAGGGACTTTTGCAGCTGTGGGTACTTCAGCACGAGCATATTCCAAGCTGCCAGCATCTGCTGGATATTTGTTAAGAGCAGAGTGTGAGGAGATACCCCGTCGGCACTCCTTAAGGAGAGCATCTTCACGTGGGCAGGAAGGATGGCCAGCACCGTTCCTGCACTGTTCGATCACTGTCACAGTTCGTCCAAGGTCTCTGTGATGATCGCATGAAAGTATTTCTCACGAAGAATGTGTTTGAAAAGCCAGCCTGCGATAAGCCCAACACCAATAGCAATGCTGAAGGGCTCACAGGCATCGGTTTCATATTTTTCTTTGCAGCTGTCCATTGCTTCAAGGCTACATCCAAATGGTCTGGCTCAAATGTTCTTGCATTAGCGCTGCAGCATAAAATGCCAACAAATTCCTAAATAGTTTTGGCCATTAACACAGTATAACACAGTGGCAGGATCAATCACCCCAAAAACCACTTCGATGTTTGGCAATCCACAGCAGGCGGGTTCAATTTGCAAGATGTTCGCTTCGCAATGAACCAATCCCATCTTTATCCATCTGTTAAGTCAGTTGAGGGGTTCACTCGAATGATGTGAATGGCTAGTTTCCTTGGTGGCACAGGGGCTGTCATGTCAGGTCTTGGGGCATTGACTCATGCTTTCTGGAACTTTCTGAGCTATGCCAGCGGGGCCTGGGAACGTGGCGCCTTGAACATTTTTGTAAATGACCATACAACAACGTCACTGATGCCTTACGTGATTTTGTAAGCTCACAGTGCCAGGTAACTTTTAATGGCATCAGCTGCAACATTGGATCATGAGTCGGATCAGCCTGCACACGACTAAACTCAGAAGGTTTGATAACTCGGCAAAAAGCTGAGGCTCCACACCTCTTATGACTTTCATGAAAGTGTCACCCTGAAGACCTTGCAACCTAGGTGATGACAACCAGGCCAGGCCTTCACTGGGAATCGGCCATCCTGAGCCTCGAACTGCTTTCGCATCTCATTCACCGCCTGGCCATGCTCCATCCGAGAATGTGTTCCAGGCCCGGCCCTACCCGATGCGCTGCTTCAGCTTGGGCTCTCGGAACGTCACAGCTTAGTTTTTCTGACCATCCCCTCAGCTTGGCATCTAATGACTGCGCCCAAGTCACGTGCTTCCGTCGATCTTCGACGCACTCTCCTCGCAAAATGCCAGTCATAACCGACCAAACACCCAAAGCAAAGCTCTTCAGCCAGTGTGATCGATTCGATTCGATAGCGCTCGAACTGCTTCTTTGGGTTTCCGAACTCCAAGCGCTCATTGTCACCTTTCACACCAAGAAAAGGCTGGTATAAAGTCAAAGGTAGCCATATATGTCTCTCTCTATGGCATATATGGTCTCTCTCTCTCTCTCTTTGTGTCTATACTTCATCATACTTCCCAATGTGCCTGGAGGAGAAGTGTCTGGTCGCGCTGCTCTAGGGACATCAAAAACACGGCCTAGCAGCCCAACATCTTCGCACACGATCTGATCCACATCCATCATGAACAAGTGCCTTACTAGTAGTAACAAGTGCATCGCTTCTAGTAACAAGTGCCTTACTACTAGTAACAATGTTTGCTATTGGAGCACTCTTTGAGCTCACATCATGGAATCACTAACAGCGTGTGCACCTGGCGTTTTTGCTGCGTGTGCAAGTGCCTTTGCCGCAGCTGTGAGGCCTTGAGACTTGCCGCGCTCTAAGCGCGTGGGGTCGGAGTGTCGGAGTGTTAACTTGGAAAGTCACATGAAAGCAATTAACTTGGACAGGTTGTACCAACATCAGTCAAGTGGAGTCAACTGCGAAATGCGAAAGCCTTGAAAGCGCAGATCACATCACGCCTCCACCTTGAGCTGTTGGGCCTCCACAAAAGTGTCAACAAGGATTTGCACATGTCGAACGCTTCCTCTCTGGGAGGGCGATACATGTATATTATATAATCTTGTTTGTCCTCATCAATGTCAAAAACCATGCCCCTGCCGTGCTTGGCGCTGTTGAGTCAATCACTCTAACAAACACTAACAAGAAACCCATCTCTCCCTAATGGCCTCCTGCTGTGCCTTTTTGGCCTCCTCTTCGTAAAGGCGCTGAGTGATGTCCATGTGTTGGTCCTTTGCTGCCACTCGTTGGGCTCCCACCATATGATCTATGCCATCTATGCGGTCTTGATGACTCTGAGTAAGAGCCCGGCCCGTTGATTTTCCTCCACCAGTTCTCTCCATGCAGCCCTGTGCCCCAAACACAGCAGGAAGATTTGGTCCAGAAGAGGCAAGCTGCCAACACATCCAAGGCAATGTTTTTAGAGCAAGTACCCATGGCAGAGCCACGAGTCCTGAGGCCAAAGCCAAAGGATAGGAAGAAGCACTTCTTTCTGTCCCTGTGCTGCGCTCAAACTGCAGCTCTTTCTCTCGCTAATCAGCGGAAAAGGCACACACAACCACGCACCAATAACATCAACATGCCATTCAACACCTACCATAAATAAAGAACAACCAAAACATGCGCACGCAGCTCACACCTTCAGCTTTTGGTCGACGGCTGAGAAGGCCATCACCGATTGCCGCATCCTGACATGTAACATTTCAGCACGAACTCACCACCGGATTGGTGGCTTTTGTGTAAAGATCAAGGGTTCAAGGGGAGCAACACGAAAAATGCTAAAGAGCCGAAGAAACCGCCAGTGCCCAAAAGTGGCAAAGCATCGGACCCTTTTCGCGCGAAGTGCTCTTTGACTTCACGTCTCCACACAGCTGGCTTTTCCAAGCATGGAGCTACGTTCGTAGCGTCCGATCGCTCCTGGTAGCGATGCCAGGAGCCCTTAGTAGCTACATGCTCCTAGTAGTACGGACAGGAGCCCCTAGTAGCGTCCTTGCTACTAGTAGAATGGTTCTTCTGACCTTTGCTGGAGCAAGGCGAAATGTCCCTTGATGGGCAGGACTGCAGCGACTGTTGGTCTCCTGCGTCACTCAGCTTCACCCATGGTCTCCTGAGAGCCGGTTCCAACAAGATCAACATGTGCTACGTTTTGACAGGTTCATAGTCAAAGTCTCATGCAAATGCACCCCACTTTGCATTGCAACCCGGTAACACGAACCGATATATATATATATAACATTTGGGGATATTTGGGTTTGTGCCATCCGAAGCACCGCACGTCATGGCACCGTTATGGACATCCACACGCTAACTGTAAGTCACCTTTTGAGTTGATAAAACCATCCTCTTCAGTTGAGAACCCTTGTCTGCATTCTCTAAAAGTTTGAAGCAAGACTCTTTCAAGGTCTCGATCTTCTGAGGCAAAGCAGTCCAAAACTCTGGTGTCATCTTCCTCAGAACTTCCACATGGAACAGCGTCGAGCTGAGATTTGCTTTCTGAGAGCTCAAAAGCCGATCAGGGATTGTAAGGATTCAGCCAACTCAAAATTAAGTTGCTGAATGACCCAGGCAAGTGTCTGATAGTTGAAGTATTCCCAAGCGATTTCGGGAAAACGTAGCTTGTTCTCCTCTGTCCAGAACTGATGCCAAAGCCTTGTTGCGTATTGTCAAGAATGGAGCCAACACCAAAACAGCAAAGCTGAACGGCGTATGGACAATAATTAAAACAACATTTTCTCAAATGCTTTGCACAGCTTGACACTAGAAGGCCACACATTTTGTTCGAGCTTCTTGCCTCCAAGTCACGTCACCGAGGGGTCTAGCGACACCGAGTACCACCACCAGCCAGAAGGGATCACCTATGGCAGGAGCTAGGCAAGCTCAAGGCAGCCTTTGAAACCGTTTGATGTTTTTGACGGTCTCAACCATGCATGAATAGCTCATTACTGTAGATGTCACCTTACATGTGTCGATGAAACTTCAATGCACATGGTGGCAAACTCTTGCACAATCCTTTTGCGTGCTTTGTTGAACAATTATATACATATATATTGGGGTCAGTTCACTATCTAGGTCAAAGAATGTGCGAACGACTATGCCTCCACTTATTTTTGGTATTTAGCTTCTTAATCTCTGGTCCCTCATGTGCATATGCACAGAAGTCAAATTCTGCAACCACTTCACTGCTGAATTTCTCAAGTGAGTGTGCATTGCAAAAAGAAGAACTCCGTGACCCCATATAGGATTTTATGGCGAAGGAACATCGACGTTAATCCTTTGGTTGCGGGTCTGCATTTTTGAACATGCCCTCCCTCTAACAAACATGGAAGTGGACATCAACCGCAACCCATGGTCCTTCCCATGGTTAAAGGGAGGGCACACACTGCAATCATCTCCGAGTCGCTAAAGTCTGGCCCAAGTAGAGGACTGCTACCTGGCACTTGGCTTCAGCGAAGAGCGGGTGTCGCTTGGCGCTCGGCGCCAGGAGATCCACCTCGCGAGTTGAACCCACGGGTCGTTGAGGGTGGGTCGTTCTGGCCGGACTGGATGCTTTTTGAAGTGTCAAATCCAATAGCTTCTTGCTCCTAGTAGCGGTGCCAGGAGCCGCTAGTAGCTCCTTGCTCCTAGTAGTACGGCCGGGAGCCCCTAGTAGCTTCTTGCTCCTAGCACAACATCCCTGGACTTTCCAACTAGAACACATTTCGGGGCAAATCCAAATAAGACATCAACCAGTCTTGCTTGTAATATAATTCCTGGCTCGCAACATCATGACTGCTTTTGGTCTCTGGGCCCCGGTACCCCGCTGATGCTCGTAGCAAAGCCGCTGGTCTCCTAGGGTCCGGAGCAAATAGGATGAGTGGTGACACTGAGATCCTACTATATATATGTAATATAAATATATATATATAACACTGAAGAAGGCATCAGAACAAGAAAGGCATTGCAGAAGTCCATCAAAAGAATGGCACAGCATCGAGCTCGTGAAGAAGCGCCCAATGACTTCCTTGCTTACCAGAAGGCGACGGATGAAGACTTGGGAGACATCCTCCTTGTGGCCGCAGAAAGGATGGATCTGTTGCTCCGAGATCCACATCACTTTCTGAAGAAGAAACCTGAAGGTGAGCCACATGGACGCATTCCTTTGGTGCAACAAAAGAAGGATCTCATCGCTCACTTGCTTCAGAATCCTGATCATCAAGGTCACTCGTGGGAGGCTCACCGAAGCGGCGCTCAATGCACACAATGCAGGTGCAAGATCCATGTGAAAAGCTTGCTCCAGGAGATCAAGCAAACCATGACCAAAGAATGCACCGAGCCGGTCATCCACAAGCCCACCAGAACGCCCAGGATGACGGTGATTCAGCAGCTTTTGGATGCCCAAGAGGAGCCACAAGAAGGGATCCATTACCTCAAGTTGGATCGTGCCTACTTGAGGTGCACAAGATGCAAGTCCTACATCCTCGCCAGGACCAAAGAGCAGGCATTCGAAGCCTTCGTGGGCGAGACCTGTCACTTCGGACCCATAGAGCCCACGGCTTGGCAAGGCCACAGAAGCCACTTGATGGTCCGTCAGGGCATGGTAGCAGAATGCTCCAAGTGCCATGCCAAAGGCAGGTTCGTCGACGGACAGGTCTCCATAAGCAAGAAGCTCAAAGAGCCTTGCCCAGAAGCGAATCAAGATATTCGCAACATGTTCTGAGCACCCAGTAGCACGGAAAAGAATCGTGTAAAAAAAAAATATATATAACACAGATACATATATATATATTATATATAAATATTCACTTATAACATCTCAAATGCACGGAAGAATGGCGGAATGCCATAACAACATCTTGCATCATAGTATACGCGTGGAACCCGGCTCTGGTGTCTAGTCTTATCTGTCTCCAAGGCTGGCTTTCAATATTCTTTCAATAGTTTCTGCACGTCCGCAAAGGATGACACGCACAAAGCGAAGGGTGTACCAAAACGGACACTTGAAACAAACCCAACTGAGACGGTTGGAAGCCGCTTTTGCACAAGCCTGAAAAAGGTCTTCAGGCTGAAACCTTCAGGTTATGAGCCCAAGGTTGAAGGCGTAAGACCCGGCTAGAGGAGGTCGATCGCTGGGCCGCCCTGCGCAAGCGAAGCCATGTCGGTCATGGCGAGGCGCCGACGTCAGGTGCCTGGAGAAGGTGGAGAAGATGATCCTGACGATCAAGGACACCTCCTTCTACAAGAGCGGCAGCTGGAAGAGGAGCAGCTGGCGTTAGAAGATGGTGAAGAAGAGGGGGAAGAGAAGATGGAAGGTCCGAAAGGACCGCCGACCACTTTGACGCCGATGACCCCGCTCTTCACACCAGAGCAGCTGAAGGGACTTCATGAAGTGCAGAGCCAAGCTCCTCACCTATATGCTCAAGTCCCGAGGCAGAGCATCTGGCAGCCTGGTCTAGGGAACAGGTCGCCAGAGGAGGTGAAGAAAGAGAGACCCACGTTCCTGCCGAAAGAAGAAGGTCCGGTGGGAGTGCTTCCACAGACGAGCACGACGACGGGGACACCATCACCGGCACTGGTGGGCGATCATGTACCAGATGACCAACGACGTGGACGACCAAGAGAACCACGGGTACCTGAAGTACAAGAGCCTGAAAGTGACAGCGATGGGCAACAACATCCCCAACCTAGAGAACAATCGGTGGCTCAGATCCAAGGGAATGGACCGGGAGGAAGAGGTCTACATGTTCCAAGAGGCTTTGGACAAACTGGCCCACCTGGGTACATCATGCCCCATGAAGAGAGGAGGGGACCTATGCCGCATCAAGGAGGATGGCAAGTTCAGCTGCATCCCTATGGCCCTGGTCCGCCGAATCCACAGGAGATGATGACCATGTTGGCGATGTTGAAGCAGGAGAATCAGCAACTGCAGATTCAGCAGGCAGAGCTCATGGACGCCATGAAGTACCAGACACCGAGCCTGGAAGCCAAGGTCCATGACCTACAACGTGAGCTGGAGCAGCAGGCCTTCAGAACGCCAGAAAGCGATGAGCCTGTGAAGTGTCAGCTGGAATTGACGGTCGACGAACCTCTGAGGGAGACGGATTTGGAGGTGGAAAGATGCCGGCTGTATGAGTTGACTCCCATGCAACAGTTCGAGCAGCTCCAATCCTTGATGGGGACGGTCACTCCGGCGCCAGCAAAGCGAGGTGGTCGGGGGCAAGGACAACGAGAGAGGTCGAGATCTCAAGGTCCGAGAACTGCACGTCAGGGAGGAGGTCAACCTGAGGGCTTGGTGGCATCTCGGGCGAAGGGCTTCGAACCGGAAGGGAGACAAGGGACCGGGAAAGGAGTGGGTCAGCCGAAGAGGAAAACCATCGCCGAGCAACCTGGTCGATCTTCAACAGCCAAGGCAAGGGAAGAACAACCTGGGGAAGGTGGTGGTGGCATGGCCGATGCGATGTCCAAGTTGATCACTTACCTGGTCGACAAGGATAAGAAGCAAGAGGGGCGTGAGTCGGTCAAGCCGGGAACAGTCACACTTCCAGTCCTGGCAGAGCCATCTGATACGGCCCCCATCGACCTGGCTGACTGGCTCACCATGGTGGAACCGGCGATGACAGATCTCAGTGATTCGTCGGGTGAGTGGTGGGAGTTGGTGGTGAGCGAAGCAAGGGCCTGGTACAAGCAGTACATCAAGCTTCGTCCGATCCAGAGGGCCTCATCCAAGATCGAACCGTCGGCAGAGCTGCAAAAGCCGAAATGGGCTCGAGTGGAGAAGAGGGCCATCAGCATGCTGCTTTCTTCAGTTCCCACGACAGTGAAGAGGAACTGGTAGCAACGAGGACTTTGTCACCGCTGGGGCTGGTGAGCAAACTCATGGTCCTCTATCAACCAGGGGGTGCTCATGAACGCACCATCATCCTGCGGCAACTTGAAGATCCGCCAGAAGCAGGGTCGCCAAGCGAAGCCTGCGTGGGACTCCGACGCTGGATGCGCTGGCTCAGGAGGGCCACCGACATTGGCCTGAACCTTCCTGATGCGATCATCCTCATGAAGGGCATCAACAAACTTAGCAAGCGGATCCTCACTCAACAACCGGATCTGCAATTCAGATGTGCCTTGGTCAAGAACACCTTGCAGCTTGATACCATCCCCAATGAGGAGACTGTTCGGACGTACGCTGAGCATTTACTCGCAGAACTTGAACAGCTCATGCATCGAGTCCGACCGTCTTCGAGTACCACGAGGCCTGGAAATCAGGGAGGTGGACCATTGGCAGTAAAGGCACTTCAAGGGGAAGATAGAGAAAAGAAGGGAGACTCGCCAACGACATCAGCGAAGGGTCCTTGTCGATATTTCCTCACAGAGTCTGGATGTCGAAGGGGGCAGTCGCGCAAATGGGCACATCAACTGGAGACTGGCGACAAGCAGAACCAGGAGAGGAGGTGCTTCACGTGCGGGGCCACACAACATCTGGCTCGAGACTGTCCAAGGAAAGAGACGGCAAAGAAGGGAGAGGGACCTCCATCCGGCCAGAAACCGAGGCTCCAGAAGCTTTTGGACAAAACTGGTGGCGGTGGAAATGGGACCTCGCAAAGTGAGTCGGGGGCTTCAATTTCTCCTCAAGCCGCATCCTCGCAGTCGGTGACCTCGGAGGCGGTGTCGGATACAGCGACAAGAACTGCAGACCCAATCAAGAACGTGCTTGATGAAGCGCACAAGTTGCTCAAGGGCATGAACCTCGAAGAAGAAGGGCAAGATCGTGCAACGGACCTTGGTGCGACGTTGAAGAAGCTGAATCGAGCATGGGAAAAAGGTGGCCCAGGGCTACGGGCAGTCAAGATAGCTCGAGTCCAACAAGGCCGAGAAGGACTTTTGGATTCTGGGGCAAAGCACGCTCTGAGGCCCAAGCTCAGAGGAGAAGATCTTCAAAGATATCGCCAAGTGAGGGTGACGTTGGCTGCTGGAGGAGCACAAGACATCCGAATGACAGAAGGGGAGACGTTGGTCCACAACAGTGAGAATGTGGAGCCGATTGTCCCGGCGGGAAGGCTTGTTCGCGACTTGGGATGTCGAATCGAATGGATGGGGGAAGCGTGCACCTTGGAGCATCCAGTCAAGGGCAACATTGACCTCAGGGTTGAAGCGGGGTGCCCTCAAATGGACCATGATGTCGCGTTGGACCTCATCAGGGAGTTGGAGGAATCTCGGTCGAGGACGGCGTTGAGGTGCTACCGGTTTGGGGAGACACGTCGACTGGCTGGACCGGGTTGTGGCAGATTGTCCGATCTTTGACAAGGTCCCGATACGAATCAAGGATCGCTTGGTGGACACCCCAGCAAGGAATCTTGATGTCCTTGGAGCCAATCGACGCATCCGTAAGCGCTGGAGAAATGAGGGAGTGGTTGTCCATCTGTATGCTGGCAAGAACGAGGGCTACGACCTCACACAGGCGCTCAAGGAGGCTGGTGGAGACACTACGAGGTTGTTGGAGGTGGATATCCTTCGAAGCCAAAGTCATGACAT